AAATAATGCAGAGCTCCTAAAAACGACATTTTCGAGATTTAAGTGCAACTCAGTCAATAATAAATATTATTTGAAGACATGTATTGGAAGGTTTTATCTAATTTTAGTAAGACAGACGAATTGTGAATTACATTATACGGTGAAACATATAAAGAAAATATAGTGGATTTTTTTAAAGAATGTATAAAGCTGTGATTTTTATCACACACACACATACACACGCTTCGATAAATAAATCGGATTAAAATATCATAAAATTTAAATCTTTTGCGCTATTATTATTAATATTGCAGTTACTTTTCAAAATACAAGATACGATTATATGTGTGTATATAAATAATATATACGTACAATTATTCGCAACATTTTTTATGCCACCACTTGTGATTGTTTTCATAGAAAAGAAACCTTTCGTTTGACCAAAAAAAAAAAAAAAAAAAAAAAAAAAAAAAAAAAAAAAAGAACAGAAACGATCTCGTTCATTGTTTGTTGTCGATGCAATGGTTACAATGGTGTTCCCCTTTACGGACATGTGCAGATATTAAAGCTGATCGTGTGCCATTGTACATAATGGAAAAATTAATACGAGTTATTTATTAGCACGTATAATTTTTTTTTTCTCAATTCTCTAGTCCGTTTCTCTTAAATGAACCTTTACGGCCGTCATCCTTCGCGCTTTAATTGGATAGCTCGCGACGAAAACACGAGCCAGGGGTAAACCAATTTCTCTCGCAGAATGCGAGGCCGTCCCGGATATTCTCTAACGGTACCGCCGTCGCCGCTGCCGTAAAGAGACAGGAATTCGCGCGGCAGCCGTAGCCGGGGCGACGAGCCGTTTTCGCGCGTTCATTATTTCGTAAATGCGAGAACATCCGACGCTTTTCGCGCCGTGTTATTCCCACCCACTTGCTTCAATCACGCTCGGAACGCACGGCGACAATCGGCATTGTCATCGCGCTGCGAAACGGTGCGCGCAGCTCGAGCGTTAATTGTGCAGAAAGGCGCGCGAATCCCGACGCCTGGAGTCGGCGAACCTAAAACTAGGTTGACACTCGACAGGTAATTTGTATCGCATTAACGCGCACCCGACGCAATACGCGCCGCGAATTTATTCTCCGTCTTAATGGAAAACGCGTGTATTATGCGCAAGGATATAAAGTACGCGCAGAGCGCGAAGTGAGACCGATCGATCCTTACCCATCGCTCTTGCGGTCGATTTGCTCATCGGGTCACCGGGTTATCGGGTTACCGTCACGCCGATCGATCGTTCGTTAACATCGTTACCGCGCGTCAAGCCATAATGTGGATAATTCGGAAAAAGATATTAAATGGCGATAGATTTTTCCTTTTTTTTTTTTTTTTTTTCTTTAATGGAGAAAACTCTCGTACTCGCTTTAAAGTATCCGTGAAAAGTTTTAGTTGACGATATTCAATTTTTAAACGTGTTTTTTTTTTCTTTCTTTTCAGCACCCATTCATGCACGCGTGGACGAAACGCAGATGGACACGCACGAGGGCTCGACGGTGCAGCTGCAGTGTCGATTTCCGCCGCCGCGAGAGAATGTTACGTGTTTCTGGCTGACTCACACGAACAACAATCTTGATAACGCGGCGATCGAGAACCGCTCGCTGTCGCCCAACTACAAGGTGTTTATGAATCTGGAGGAGGGCCGCTACGATCTGCAAATCAGAAACGTGTCCTATGAGCGCGACAATGGCAAGTACGAGTGCAGAGTGAAGGTCAGCAGCACCGGTACCGATCTTCACAGGAAGTACATTACCCTGACGGTGCTGAGGGCACCGGGTCCGCCGACGATATCGCCCGCCTCCGCACCGGCCACGGAGGGTCAGCGTCTCGAGCTGCAATGCAACACGTACGGTGGCAGTCCCGAGCCGGAAGTGAGATGGTACCGCGGCAACAGCACTATGCCACTGCACACGGGTAGAACGCTGATGGTGGAACCCACGCGGGAGGACGACCGAGCGATCTTTCGGTGCGTCGTGAGGAATCGGGCGATGCGCGAAGGCGAAATTTTGGACGCCTCGGTGACGCTCGACGTCAACTACTTCCCGCGCGTGACCGTCGGTCCGGAAAATCCGCTCAAGGTCGAGGTGAACGGCACCGCGACTCTCAAGTGCCACGTGGACTCGAAGCCGATGGTCAGCATGGTCCGCTGGTGGCGGGACGGCAGTTTCATCGCCACCAATTTTAAACACACGATATCTAAAGTGACGCTGCAGGATGTCGGCAGGTACACCTGCCAAGCGGACAACGGGCTCGGCAAGCGTACCGACGCTTCCCTGATCTTTTTTTTTTTTTTTTTTTTCTTTAATGGAGAAAACTCTCGTACTCGCTTTAAAGTATCCGTGAAAAGTTTTAGTTGACGATATTCAATTTTTAAACGTGTTTTTTTTTTCTTTCTTTTCAGCACCCATTCATGCACGCGTGGACGAAACGCAGATGGACACGCACGAGGGCTCGACGGTGCAGCTGCAGTGTCGATTTCCGCCGCCGCGAGAGAATGTTACGTGTTTCTGGCTGACTCACACGAACAACAATCTTGATAACGCGGCGATCGAGAACCGCTCGCTGTCGCCCAACTACAAGGTGTTTATGAATCTGGAGGAGGGCCGCTACGATCTGCAAATCAGAAACGTGTCCTATGAGCGCGACAATGGCAAGTACGAGTGCAGAGTGAAGGTCAGCAGCACCGGTACCGATCTTCACAGGAAGTACATTACCCTGACGGTGCTGAGGGCACCGGGTCCGCCGACGATATCGCCCGCCTCCGCACCGGCCACGGAGGGTCAGCGTCTCGAGCTGCAATGCAACACGTACGGTGGCAGTCCCGAGCCGGAAGTGAGATGGTACCGCGGCAACAGCACTATGCCACTGCACACGGGTAGAACGCTGATGGTGGAACCCACGCGGGAGGACGACCGAGCGATCTTTCGGTGCGTCGTGAGGAATCGGGCGATGCGCGAAGGCGAAATTTTGGACGCCTCGGTGACGCTCGACGTCAACTACTTCCCGCGCGTGACCGTCGGTCCGGAAAATCCGCTCAAGGTCGAGGTGAACGGCACCGCGACTCTCAAGTGCCACGTGGACTCGAAGCCGATGGTCAGCATGGTCCGCTGGTGGCGGGACGGCAGTTTCATCGCCACCAATTTTAAACACACGATATCTAAAGTGACGCTGCAGGATGTCGGCAGGTACACCTGCCAAGCGGACAACGGGCTCGGCAAGCGTACCGACGCTTCCCTGATCCTGGACGTGCTCTACCCGCCTACGGTGTCGATCGAGGGCGATACCTTTCGAGTGGCCGACGTCGAGGACAGCGTGACCATCCACTGCAACGTGACCGCCAATCCGACGCCGTCGGTGATCGAGTGGCTGCGAGATGGCCGGCCGGAATTCAGGCAGCCGGGCTCGATCCTGCGATTGACCCGGGTCACGGCGGAGCACGCCGGTAATTACACATGTCGCGCGGTGAACACGATTCATCCCACTGGCGGCGAACGCAGGAATCATTCGGCATTCGCCAGCGTCACCATTCGAGTGCGACACAAGCCCGGCCCGGCTAGAGTGACTCCGGACTCGCCGGTCGCCGTCGAGGGCTCCCGGGTGATACTCACGTGCATGGCCAGCCCGGCCGGATATCCCGAGCCGCAGTACAAGTGGTGGAAGGAGGGCGAGGGCGGCACGATCTTGATGCCGACGCCATCCGGCCCAAAGTATGAGATCGACTCGGTGCACCTCGGCAGCGAGGGCACATACAAGTGCCACGCGATCAACGAGATCGGCATTGGCGAAGCCGCGTCAGTAAACCTCACCGTTCACCAGCCGCCAAAGATACTCACCAAACTGCAACCTCATGTCACGAGAAAGTAAGTAGTAACTTTGTTAAACTTTTCTTTCTGATTACTGAAAGAATAGCCAAATTTCCATCTATAAAAAGAGACATATTCTAAATAGTCATTTATTTTTATTGGAAAATTGTTTTGTTAAAATTAATATTTTTAGAGACGTATAATTATAACATATTTTAAACGTGGCGCTATGGAAAATAACAAATATATTGCAAATATAATTAACTTTTTTGTAAGGTTGCATGATGTTTTCATCTATTTGAACTTTTAATTCTCCAGTTGTTTTGAAATGCGTTGGCGTAATTGTAAAAGTCTGCGGACTCTACGTTTGTTTTCTTCTACCCTTCTCTTCCCTAAGGTATGCGCCGCTGGGAGAATGAAACAGTTCTTTGCGGGTAGAACAAGATATATGGTCCGTTCTAATAATGTAACGTCTTCTTACTTATCGCAGAGTCGGCGAGTCGTCGTTCCAAGTATCCTGCGTAGCGCAGGGCAAGCCGCGGCCTAGCGTGCGCTGGTTGAAGGACGATCAAGAATTAACGGCCGACGAGAGGCTCTACAAAGTAATTACGACGGCGTCGGAGGGCCACGGTAGCGTAATAACCGTAAATTCTACGTTGAGCTTTTTGGGTCACGCTCGTCCGCAGACGGACGAAATCGTGGCGAGCGATCGCGGCAAGTACACCTGCGTCTTCATGAACGAGGTAAAGAAAGTCGAGTCCACGATGATGCTCAAGGTGGAGCACGAGCCGATAGTGCTCCATCAGCACGGCAAGGTGGCCTATAATCTCCGCGAGACCGCCGAGGTGGCCTGCAAGGTACAAGCGTGGCCGAAACCCGAGTTTCAGTGGAGCTTCGGCACCAACGCCGCGACTCTTCAGGGCTCCTCCAGCGACGGTCATTACGAGATCACCACTACAAGCGACAATTATGACGTGTACACATCCGTCCTGAGAATGACCAATATCCGCGAATCTGATTACGGCGATTATACCTGTCGCGCCGCCAATGCTCAAGGTAGCGTCATGTCTACCATCAGATTGCAACCGAAGGGAGCGCCGGAAAGACCAACTAATATCACTGCCATGGAAATCGGCCCCACGTACGTTGCGCTTTTGTGGCAATTGGGTTTCGACGGCGGTCTGCCTATCACGAAGTACTTTGTTTCGTACAGAAGAGTGGCCGGTGGTGACGAGATAGTAGCGCCGGATTGCGCACCTCCTCGCGGACCGGCCGGCCAATGGCTCGAGCTCGATTGCCGACGATCAAATCCATGTAACGTGACCAATCTAGAACAACACCAGACCTATACCTTCAAAGTGAAGGTCTATAACACTAAAAACCATTCCGATTACTCCGACGAGGTGACCGCTACTACGGCGGTGGCAAAGATACCTACTCCGCTGCGGGTGAACTTTGATCCGGAGAGTGGCACGCTCGCTATTAACGTAGGTGCCACGTGTCTGGCGTTGGTGGCGTCTATCGAGAAGTTCGATGGAGGCTCCGATAGTTCGTGGAGAATCGTTGATGAGTGGCCTCTCGAAGTTCTCGGGAGTGCACCTACTCAAAGGGAAGGAATATTGGACGATCCCGAAGCAGCTGATTCGGAACCTCGGCTTAGAGTTAGACTCTGTCTCAAAGCGGATCGGCAGAAGTGTGGCGAGTACACGGAAGCCGAAAGTAAGTTTATATTTGAAAGTAATGTGATTATGTAATGATTTAGAAAATTAGCTATAGTCAATTAAAATAATATTAAATATTTTGTACGTTTGCGGAACCAAGATCTTATCACGTTAGAATTTAATAAACACAAAATGTTTTATTGATAAAAAAATTTAATATTCTTAATGAATATTTTTTTCATTTATTATTTATGTCCTGTAACTTTAAAATAATGTGATGTTTTAACCAAATAATTTTAGCGATTGTACTTTTGTAACGATTTTCTTGAATTGAAGCAATTTTCTTATTCTTTCTCGCAGTTGGACCATCCTATATTGCGCAAGCCGGTGCTCTCGCAACGCCAACTTTAATCGCACTGATAGTAAGCGGAGCAGTTTTTCTACTCTTCGCAGCATTGCTGCTGCTGTTCTGCCGGTGCCGGCGAAAACACGCGACGAAGGCGAAAGATTACGAGATGGACTCGAACGCGTAAGTTTTCATCTCGGGCGAAACTATCTCTCGCTATGAACAAAGAATGCTTGACGTTAAGCTAAACGACGTGTTGCTTCGCATGACTTGAATAAAAGAAGGCAGCTCACATCTGTTCTTTATTTTTACAGCGTTCGCCCGAGTCTCGTGGCAGGTAACGGCCAACAAACGCAACCACCGCCGCCTTACTATGCCGAGAATAAAGCGCTAGAGCATAGCTTGGACCATGCCCTGGCTTTGGAAGACTCGAAAACTCCCGCTTACTCGCAATCGGGATATGGTTATCATCAACCTAATCATAACATTAATGGTAAACGTCACAGATATAAAGAAAAGGATTTTTCTCTTGGACGATTGCGTCGCGCGCTCGTTATATTTCGGTGAAAATTCTCGGGAAATACGTATAGAATACGCGTTATACGATCTTTTTCCGATTTTTCACAGGCGTGAATATGGGATATATGGATAATAGTTACTCAAATTCCAACAATGGCGGTTCCGTGAACTCGCAGGACTCCATATGGCAGATGAAATCCGCCGCGGCAAACGGCGTTAATCAGCCCTACGATCTTGCCGGATATGGCACTACGGAATCCGATTACCCTACGCATCCTCATTATCTTCCGCAACGGGAGAATTACAGAGAGAGCCATAATCTGAGCCGACAGCAGTTCTGTTCGGAGCCCTTTGCCACCGTCGTCAAGTCTCAGAAACACGTTGGTCAGTATTAGCTTTACTTACGATCGTTTCACGTGACTTTCCTCGTCCGGCGCTAGCTTCTAATGACAGTCCCTATATTACCGGTGTGCGTGTCGGGCTGCAGCGTTATAGATTATATCGTACGTTACATCGATCTTCCGCGGCTACGCTACATTGCTCGGCGATACCTTCTCTATTCTCGGAGAGGCTTGTTTCGAACCCTTCCGCTTCACCTTTCCATCGTCCCTTACCGCCAACTTCCGCGGTCTCGCAATTTCGCTCGTTTTCATATTAATCGTTCGCTCCATCTTCGACAGATTCACCTTACGATGTGTCGGGATTGCCGTATCAGGAGAATTACGATGAAGATGCGAAGCCGCCGCAACAGGTCAGTCTCTCATACGACGAGAGTCTGGAATCGGGCTACTCCACGCCGAACAGGCGTAGAATTATCAGGGAGATAATCGTTTGAGACCTGCCTACCGGCTCACGAGCCGGAAACACGCGTACCACTTGGCTATAGCAGCAGGCCCCCTGTCATACGGCGGTGACGCAGCATCACACACACCCGCACCTCTATCATCGTCACCGACATCGTCATCGTATGGAGATAGTACTTGAGAATCCTTCCGTATCGCCGTCGGCGAGGACACCCACCCCGCCGTCAATTGCGACGTCGGCCACAACAGCGACATCGCAATTGGGTCTTCCGATGTGTCCACCACACCATTTTCCGCAACGCGCGGCTTACGATACAGGTTTAGGACGTGGTTCATCATCACTGCCCGCGGAGGATTACTACGCGAGAAATCGGCACGGACTGACATCGTACGGCGAACTGGACGACACTGGCGTGCCAGCGCCGGTGACAGTCCGACGAGTCGACAAGTCTGGATTACTGGAGATCGCAGAGACGGATCCTGTGACATGTCCGCGTCCTTGCGTGCTCACTGGTGCGGAGGACGTCGCCGCACGCACCGTACCGTTACGGGTCGATCGTTCGGGGCTGTTAGAGGCGGTTCCCGAAGCTGTCGATCAGATGGAAGAGCACTATAACAATGGCAGTACAATGATGACGAAGATGCTCGATGAGGCCGCGTCTCTGCCACGAGGAGAAACGTTAAAAGTGGATGTTGACGTGAATCCTCGCGTGTTCGAGGGAGATTGCCTACTGGAACGGCCATCTTCCTTGGAGGGCCAAGCCTATCCGGACGAAGTCGACACGAAGGGCTGTACGGTGGATATCAAAGCGCTAACCGGAATTCGATTTGACGCTTCCAAAGCCACGGAGAGGCTATCGCACTTGCCGTTCTCACCCGGTCCTTCCCTGCGCCTTTCTTTTCGAAACGATTCTTTGAGGACATCACCTCTGACAGGCCGTTGCGCGGACTCGGCCCGATCGCGTAATCAGAAGTCTCCAGAATTTGCCGCGAAGTATACTTCCACTGCCAGGAAACTCGCCAACTCGTCGCAGAGTCCAATTACGCGAGAACGATTGCAAGTAAGATGTTCCAAGGACAACGACGATTTAGCTCAATCAATTGTCTTGGAAGAGCCAACGGTCGACACGAGCGAAACGCGCCGCGAATCGCTATTCGCGAAAGGAAACGCGGAGCAAGAGGACGATCCACCGGGAGAGGAGAGAGCCGAAGCGGAAGGATGCGAGCATACGACCGTCGAGAGTCTCGAAGAGGATGAGGTATCGTTCAAAGGGTCCAACAAACTTCTCGACAACGACAATGTCCAAACGCTCAGAGTGATTATTCTATCGGAACAATTGTGAAAGTGATTGTGTAAATCGAATGCAATAATTATAGACAATGATGTCGATATGCGCATATGCCGAGAATGAACAGATATCAATGATACGGTCCCCCGAGAGAAATTATCAACTGTCGACAATGAGGGCGATGTATCTTGCGCGAAACATCGCTCTTCCTTGTCTGTTTAATTTATCGACTTTTGCTAATAAGTCTGTATAATTCAAAAACTTTTTAAAGAAATTTTATTATTTGATATTTATGTATTTTTGTTGAATATTAATCACGTTACTCTGAGAACATACTTTGAGAAATCAAATATTGTCGTATAGATCGCTACATATAGCCTTGTTTAATTTTAAACCGCTCGAGACTGATTAAATATTATTATTATTAATGCTTTGAATCCGGCACTTGTATTAATATTTAACAATGTTATCGGTCTTGAAATAACTGCCATTCCGGATTCAATGGGTTAATATATTAATTAATCAGCCTGGACACTCGAGTCACAACGAAATTTTTCTATGCATTTGTCGTAATGTTACTCTGTTGAATTGACCAATGTGATGATATTACGCTCGTGTGATTTCATTGCATTTATTCGTATTTTCTGCATAATTGCGTTTTCTTCTATCGAGCGAATCTGAAGGGGACGTACGATCCTCGTGAGATGTGTGTTTACAAGCGATATTCACGTGTTACGGTGTTAAAATACTAGGACACTTCAATTTCCGGCCGTTCACGCGAGAAAAGATGCCGTACGTATAAACGGGAAGATATTTCAAGAATGGAAGAGGGACAGGTTGGTGAAGTCTCTCGAACCAATGGCGCGCAAAAGTTGTACGATTACGGTGACGATATACGGCATTCGATGCATTTTATACTTTTATATACGACTGTGGGTGACGCCGTCTCTTCGAATGACATGTGGTCGCGGTTTCTCGCGATCGAAGATATTATAACAAAAGACATCCGAGGGACATCTAAAAGAAAATGTGCCTTTGACATCTTTTGGACACTTGGATTGTCTGGATTACGTCACGAGGCAGATGATGTTTGAAATTATCGTCTCGGTCGTTTCAGCCCGACAGTCGTCTCAATTAAAAATTGTTCTCCGCGAAAAAAAAGAATACATCTCTAACTTATAAACACTATCTCTAGTACATACTTACAAAACCGGCGGCGTTAATCGCCTCGGTCGATATACATACATACATATATATATATATATATATATATATATATATATATATATATATATATATATATATATATATATATATATATATATATATATATATATATATATATATATATATATATATATATATATATATATATATATATATATATATATATATATATATATATATATATATATATATATATATATATATATATGTATGTATGTATATCGACCGAGGCGATTAACGCCGCCGGTTTTGTAAGTATGTACTAGAGATAGTGTTTATAAGTTAGAGATGTATTCTTTTTTTTCGCGGAGAACAATTTTTAATTGAGACGACTGTCGGGCTGAAACGACCGAGACGATAATTTCAAACATCATCTGCCTCGTGACGTAATCCAGACAATCCAAGTGTCCAAAAGATGTCAAAGGCACATTTTCTTTTAGATGTCCCTCGGATGTCTTTTGGATTATTGCATTGCACGGGAAGACGACGGGGCGCATTGAATATTCATCGCACATAGCTGTAAATATTTCCAAGTAAATTTCCCAAGGTACTTAACAACGGAAAAGAGTCTGCGATGTTGTTAGATGCGATACGCAAGTTTGTAATTGTATTCGCCGCTTGGCAGTCGCGAAGAAAGCATGCGATGAAAACTTGGGAAGAACCCAAAAACGAAAGCGACAACGAACTTCGCTGTTTCAGCCAGAATATATTTCGGACTAACGGTAGATATTAAATGTATAGACTTTTTTTTTTACGTTTGTGCGAATATTCTACGCGTCACTCCGTTTTATAGTTGTATGCGGCGTGTAGAGATTACGTACATTTTTTTGTTGAATTTTACTTCCTCTTTTCTCCCTCATTTTTCATTTTTTTTAAACTTTTGTATCGTCGATCGGACGCCGGCAAAGTGAGTCTTTCTTCGCTCGCGACAAACGTGAAAATATAATAGGACAGAGTACGAAGCTATAGATTGCCATGCTATATAATGCAATTTCACGAATACTTCGGTATAATAAATTGTAAAGCATCTGTTTGGATAAGAAATATTCATCCAAAGGCAAAAGCACTTTATATAATTACTCGTTATTTCATTTCGTACATACTTTCACGTTTGCGGGTGCAGAAACACTTTTGTCCGCACCGTCTGTTCGCACATCATTTGTTGATCTCATTTGCTCGTAATGCAATTTCGGAGACATCGTGATCGCATCTCGTTGCGATTGCACGTTCGGCCATTAGTCTCGTGTACCACGACGTATAGGCGCAATTAGGAACACAAATACTTTAAGTGTATTCCACCGAAACGATGTCGTGTTGCACGTATATACAACGCGATCGTAACGAGTCTTGTTGGACGTAATATAATCTTCGCTGATTACTTTGCTAATGAAATAGCAGTGTATTTATCAAGCATGATGTCGGTCAAGTTATTTACTGTGTTGGCCCAACAGGCATTTTTATTATTTCTTTTTCCGCTTTTTGTGCCTATCTTTCTTTCTTTTTCTCTCTTTGATGCATCTTTTACTAAAGCGAATTCGTTTTATTAACGCTAATACACTGTCCAATATTGAAATATTTTCCATTTTATATGCAAAAATGTTTTATCTCTTGCACACGCTCGGTCTTTTTACATGGAATCGCATTTTACCAATTACATATACCATCTCTTTTTTTCTACTTCATCTTTCGCTTATTCTCGGTTTATCTGATTTGGTTGTGTATTCATTATTGTGTCTCTCTTATTTATTAGACTTACATATGTATCCCGTATACTCTCGCACTATATTACATTTTTCTATCGATGACGCTAACGCGCTTTTTAGCGCAAGGTAATTCATTGATGACCGATTTACGGAAACAAATGATGAGAATCTCCTACTTCCATGTCTTTCATAGAGCGAAAGTTGAGCGTTAACGTTATAAACGTTACACGTGTACTGCGTCTTGAAACCGCCGATATTCGGAATCAACAATGAGAGTCTACGTAATCACTTAAGGGGACACGAATACACCCATGTACAGTTGTATTCCTGTGAGTCGGACAACGTAAATTTTCTAGCCGCCAGATACGAGAGGAGAAGGGCAGTTCACAGAAAGGTAAACGCGGAGGCGGGACAGGCGAAAAGAATGGAGAAAAATGTAGTCGACATATTTTTGCACACAACGAAATCGTAGAGGATACTACATGTACGTTAAACACGCGTATATATATATACTATGTAGGGTTAATAAATTTCAAGAACGCCAACAAGACCGTGTTCGATCGATTTTCGCTACCTTACGCGCGAAGAGAATGAGAATTACGCTGCGGTTTTGTACATAATACATAGCGAAGAGAAAGATAAAACGAGAGAGAAAGAATATATATATATATATATAAATATATGTGTGTATGTTTGAATGTACGGATAATGTATGCCATGGGAAAAAAGGAAAATGTTATGTTTTAAGGAAATAATTGTAAACGAAGACGAGCAGCTAAGTTGTAGAATTTCCTCGAGTAACGTCGCTCGCCGAAGTAGGTGTAAATACAAGAATGTACGTTTCTCTAAACCTATATAT